AACACAAGGGACTGTTGAAAGCTACGAATGTTTAAAGGTGCCCTGGAGTCTCAATTCATTTGGGACTGTCTAGCTATGTAAATTCACTTCAAAGAATAACAGGAAGAACAGAGCATTCTAAAAGATAGTGAGGGACCTGCACCGTGTTGGGCCATCTCACACTCAGGGAGAATAGGCCTGTGGCTCCTTGCCCACAGCCTGTTTCAGGTGCAAAAGTTGTGAGTGCAGGTGGCTTTTTGGGAGCCCAGTCCTGAATGAAGCCATGGGAAAACTGCGTGAAAATGAAACGGGTTTTGGTGCCCACAGACTGGTGCCCAGTGCTCCCCAGAGATCTTGCAGGAAGTTGCACAAAGGGAAGAGAAGAGAAGGACGTATAAACACTGTCTTTGTCTTCAGGAACCAACAGAGCCTGCAGGTCCCAGGGACTTGGGGTCTCCCAGTGGGGCCAGGGGCCTCCTTTCCTTCCTTCCTTCCCTAAAGCTTACAGGCTAAGAATCCGCTTTGAACCTGCTCCGCCTGCTCTAGGAAAGCACTGCTCTGAGCACCTGTTACTCAGATGCCGCCCAGGAGAGGGCAGTGTGCCACTGTCTGACGGGGCTGACAGACCAGACCTGACTGAAAGCTCCCAGGCTCCCCGTGGTCAGGGCACAGGCCTCTGAACACTGACTACAGCTCCTCGCACGTCATGTCCCGCTGCCCGCCAGCTGGGGTTTGAAGGTTATGCCTTGCCCAAGCCCACACCGGGGTTCCTTGCGAGGCCTCTACCGGGTTTTGGACCTACTGACTCTCAAAGCAGAGGGTTAGGGACATGGGTTCAGACCTGCGCCTGCTGTCTCTGGGCCTCTGAGGACCCACATCTTAACCTTGAACCTCGGGACCAGCCAGCTCATCCTGATGGCGGCCCCAGCACCAGGAGGCAGAGTCCTGGCTCTCCTCACTGAAGCACATCCTAGCAGGGCTTACATGGGCTCTTCCCACAGGGCACGCAGGCCCCAGCGCAAGCACTCCTGGTGCCATGCTCACATTCTGTGATTTAGAGATAAATATACACCAGGACACGTGTCGCGCGAGTGCTCCAACACTGCCAAACAGGAAGCCCAGAACGGAGGTACAGGGTCCCACGTGAAAAGGTCCCTGAAGTCAGGAGGAAGGGCAGCCGAGTCCTCTTGGCCTGGGAAGTGCACTTCCTGCTAAACCAGAATCCGCAGGCTTGCCTCCAGGTGACACACTGGAAACCACAGCCTCCTGCCTTTCCTCAGGGTGGGACAGTGTCGCTCTCCCGTGGGTATCATGCCAGAGGGTTCTGCCCTGAACCAGAAACACCCCACCTGGGAGCAGCCCAAGGGTCCTCAAGGCAAACCCTCAGGGCTTGTTCAGAGGGCCTCTGCCCCCGGGAGCTTCGGACGAGTTTAGCGCCTTGTGTCACCTGGTGCAAGAGGAGTAGCACAGTCCATCCTGGGAAGAAAGGTGACAACTTGTGCTAAGGAGGAGGGCACGATGACCTAAGACAACAGCTGGAAACCACTGAGTGCCGGGTCATGGTCTGGTTCTGGTGCTGCCTACACCTGCTGCTTTGTGAAAAGTCACTGTGCACTTTTCTTCATATGGTATTCCTCAATGTCTGCCATAAAAATAGGACCGTTTCAAAGGTTTCCCCCTTAACATCTACCAAGTCTACACTGTCCCAGACCTGCCCCTCTCCCCTTTCCCCTGCAGTGGAAAGGCACCTCCGGGCTGGCGTGGCACTGCCCTCACTCCTCCAGAGAGCTCACGCTAGATCCCGAGGGTCTGCAGAACCTCCCCACCTCACCTGAGCACAACCCATCCCTCTTACTGGTTGACGCTGGAGCCCCGGAGGGGTGTCCGTCCTGCCTGCTGCCCCACAGCGCCCATCTGAGCATGTCCCTCCACTGGCTCGCTGAGGCCGAGCAGTGGGGTTTGGGGTCTCCTGGCCTCTGCGCCTTGTCCTGAGCAACACGGAGGTCTCTGCAGGCCTCTCCTGGTGCCCCTGCCCTGGACCTGAGCGGTCCTGCATGGCGCCTGCAAGCCTAGGTGCCGCCTCCTTGTCCCTGTCCCCTCAGGACATGCATAGTGCAGACACGCGGTGTGAGCTCAGACCAGCTCTGTGGACCTAAACCGTTCGAGGTCCCAGTCAATGGGCAGAACTGCTCCTGCGCAGGGCGTGTCCTCTGAGGCGGTGGTGTGCGTCCTGTCTCATGCTTCCCCTCGGACTTCCAACGCAAGGCTCTGCGCACCGGTCCCTCGGGCTGGGCCGGCTCCCCTGGCCTCGTAGGCACAGCCTGTTGCGTGTTCTGTGTCCCCTCTTGGCAGCCAGCATGGTGCTGGGCCAGAGTGCACTCGACAGGAGATTACCAAGGCACGAAACCAGATGCCCACAGGTCAGGCATGTCATGAGGGGTGGAGTGGCGGTCCAGGGGACACAAGGACAGGCAAGGCTTGTGACTGCACAGCAAGACAACCCCCACCAGCTGACCATGGCCAAGCAGGAATCGGCAGAGTGGGGCACATCCTGATTTCCCAAACCCAAGTCCACCTGGAGTGGGCACTTGCTGACTAACATGGCATCCATCCCAACCAGATTTCTGCTGGAATGTCCCTCACAGGCCCACCTGCCTTTAAGGGGACCAGTTGGTCCAAGCTTACCAGTGATCTTGGTCAGCTCAGGCCACCAGCACAGCCCGTTTCCCAGATGGAAGGCAGAACTCCGGGCAAGGGATCCGTGGCCCCCCAGGCAGGGTGAGGCAGTGGAAGGCAGGGCTGGTGGTGAGAGACACCCTGAGGGCATCTTTGGAGCCTGCCCTCTCTGTCCTGCTCCCTGGCAACAGCCTCCCTTCATCTCTGAGGCCAGCGGGAGGTGAGCTGTCACCTGCCACACCTGACCCTGTGCTAAATGTTACAGCACATGCCAGTCCTCGGCTGTGGCCGGACTTACTTCCCAGTTCACAACCTCCAACCTAGTTCAACCCCTCTATTCCTAAACTGGGGACCCGGAAGCCTGGCCAGGGGAAAAGGCAACTACCTGGAGTCACAGGCTCTTTCTGAAACCAAGGTGCCCACTTCGTGGAGTGGAAGGTGGATGCAAACAAGGCGGCTGGCAGGGCCTGCACAGGCCCTTTTGGGTCAGCAAACGTGCGCTTTGAAGCGAAGGCAGGCCTAGTTGTTCAACAGCCTTTTAGAGTCTCTTATCTGATTATTTAAACGGCTGCCACTACAGTAGGGAACACACACTAGCTTCAGCCCCACAGCCACGCCCTTGCCCTGCAGCTCACAGGGCAGCCTCGCAGCTGTCTAGGTTCGTGGTGCAGGAGCGTCCCACCCACGGTATCGGGTGTGCAGTGGACTTAGCCTAAATGTCCTGGTGTTTAAACAAAACTCGACAGTAACTGACAGTAATGATGGCTGCCTCTATAGAAACTACGTAGAGCAATGTTTTGCCTGCTCCCATGGACCCAGCCTTTGGCTGACAGAGAACATACTTTCCCCTTCAGCAGCGGCTGGGTACGCATCTGGTTTAGGAAAGATAAACAACCAGTCCAGTTGGGCGCAAGGAGTTTTCATACAAAATTCCAGGACCATGTCCCCGCCGCCCTCAGTGCCCCGGGCAGGGGCCAGCCATGGTATGTACTTCCCGAGCACCATGCTCTTAGGTTTTCAACTGGAACACGGTCTGTTCTGTGCGACCTGTGCCTGACTGCCCAGCATGGTGGCCACGGGCCATATATGACCAGATTAAAAGTGAACAAATTTAAAGTAGGAAATCCCATTCCTTAGCCGCACCGCCCATTCTCCGGGGCTCCACTGCCCCGGGCCCTGTGGCTACTCTTCTGGGCAGTGCAGTTCTGGAATGCTTGTCTGCTCTGTAAGTCTCCAGTTTAATGTACTGAAGAAGCACTTCTCGTCTTTTCTGCTCAGACACACGGAAGATTGGAGCCTGTGCCTCCTGCTGTTGCCAAGAGGCTGTTAAAGCCAGGTATTCCCATCTCTCCCGAGGTCACGAGGTCACGGTGGAGCAGAACCGGTTCTCTGCCCGCCCCCAGCTGAGTTCCTGGCACTGCCGCCCCTGGGGGAGGCGGTCTAACTGGCTGAAGGGTATGGCAGAGGCAACGTGAGGGTGTGTGTTGGAGACAGAGTTTCGTTTTTACTCTTTTGCAGTTTGCACAGGATCATTGAGTATCACTTCAGAGACGCTAGTGACAGACACATGAGCCAGTCCTTTAACTTCGCTGTGCACCTGTGACACGCCCTCTGCTTGCTTCTGGACCATTGCCCTCTCCATTCCAAGGTCAGGCGCACTCGGTCTGACATTAGGAACAGTGACCGTCCTGGAATCACGGCCAGCGGTGCCTCAAGCCCTCCAGCTTTGGCTGGCTTTCTCTAAAGTCGACGCCTCTTTTCTTGTGACCGCTGTTAAATGGAGTTCCAACACCCCCCAGATCAGAAAAGTAATACAGCAGCTTGTCAGCACCTCACACACAGTACATGGTGCTTGTCTCACCAACAGTGTTCTGATGGGAGACACTGGTCAGAACTGCGATTCCCAATCTGCTCTGGGGTCTCAGTAAGCTGCTCTCACCTTCCTGGGCCTTAAGGCCCCACAGTGCCTCCTGGGACGTTAAAAAGTGGGCCCACGCCCAGGAGGCACTGAGGGCAGGAGGGGTGTGGAGGCGCCATCCACAGGCCGGCACCGGGGCACCATTTGGGTCCCAGGCCAGCAGCTCGCTGGGGCCAGGGCAGTGCTAGGATCCCACTGTGTATGGATGCTGGGGAGAAACATCTACTCTATCTAAACATGCTTACCTCTGTCCATCTCACAGGAAACAGAATGAAATGTTAACAGCAGTTATCTGATCATAGATAACTAACATTTTCTTTTCAATACTTAGTGTATGTTTCCCAAAATTTCTACCCAAACAGAAATTCTCTGGGTTATTTTTATTAGCAGAAAAAGTGTTACTTTCAAAAGTATTTTAAATACGGTATAATGATTAAACATTTTAATTTTTACAAACTTGGACTTGGCTCTTCAGCCACAACCTGCAGCTGTGACTGCCAGGCAGGTGTAAAAAATATTCAAACATAGGTTTGCTGACTTAGAGTAGCAGGGGATGGATAAAGGTTAACGCAGGAGTTCATCCTTATCTGTCTCAAGAGTGGCATCATCCATCAGTTTATCTGTAGTAGACTTTTTTTACACAGAACTGCACCATAAAGCTATTTCTTTCTATGTTTAACAGTTTGACAAATCATAAACTATATAAATACCCCCATGAAAGATAACTTTCAATCTGTTTAGCAAATGTGGGAAGAGGGTCTCTAAAATTGCAGGTACTTTAAAAAAACCACAGATAGCTTTGTTTTTTCCTGAATACAGTCATGCTTGCAGGGCACTGATTATTTTTAATTATTCAGAACCTTGGTCCAAAACAATTTTTTTTTCTAGTAGTTAAATGAGTACCTTAATTTCAGATAAGAACGTTTTTCCTTTATAATGTTAGCATGTTAAAGATCTGGAGCTCAAAATTACATGTTATTTTTTTAAAAAGCCTCCAAAATATGTAAACATGAGTAAATCAGACCTGCTCCCAGAGTTCCAACAAAACTGGTTTCTCTGTGTAGGCTACACGAGTTAGTCACTAGGCCTGTCAGTTCTCACCTGTCAACCCCCCCCCCCCCCCATCTGCATGGAACCTCCTCTCCCCATGACCGCATGCCTCCGGCCCACCTCCGGCTCCAGCACACCCTCGGGTGGAGGGAGGACAGCGGCAGCCCACGCTCCCAGCTCAGCGCTCCACTCCTGGCCTGTCTATCCTACTGCTTCTTGGACCACCGCCCCAGACAGCACCCAGCCACCCAAGTTCCCAGAATGCATGCCTGCAGGCCTCGTGTTTGGTCAGAGCTCTTCCTTTGAATGTGGCTCAACCACCTGCCCCCCCAGATGCTGCCTTTGATGCTTCCCAGGAGCGGAGTCCTGCCACCTCCTGTCACCTCTTCACCCTGCACCTCTATACACACAATAAACACCTGTTCACTGGGCTCAACTGCTGGGCTGGCCTCACTCCTATTCATCTCCCCAGAGCCCAGCCCAGGGCCTGGACCACCCTAAGCCACCAGTGATGCCCAGTGGATGAGCTCCAGGGCAAAGGTCCCCGCACGTGACCCAGAGCCCTCCCTTCAGGGCGCCTTCCTTCACAATCTGTCTTGATGTTTAGAAAGAAGTCTGGTTGGGCACAGTAGTCAGATGCTGTAGTAATTTTTGTTGCCAAAGTTGTAAATGTGACCTCACTGTCGGTATCGACTATACTGGCTTGTGTGATAAACTTGCTTTTTATGGAAGGTTTCCGTAATCATTAAGAGTCCAAGAACGCTCATTGTTCTAACAGCTGTAAAGTCAGTGACAACTGAGGTTGCCATTGGAACTCACACAAGCAGGGCTTTTTCATGAGATATCTGGGGCTTCTAAATGTTCTTTTTAAATGAAACCAAAGACTACAGGCTGTGAAATGAAAGACTGAAAAGGCCTCTAGCCTGCAAGACAGAGTCGGCCTGCCCGAGGGATCAGGGAGTGCTGGCCTCACAGCACCAGGTCGGGCAGTGCTTCCTCTTCGATTCACGGGAAAGTGCAAAGGACCGCTGCTAGTTCTTCCTCAAATGTGGGGTGGACCTCACTGCCACGCCATCGGGTGTGGGGCTTTGGTGGGAGACTTCAGGTTACTGATGGCGTGGAGATGGCGTGTGGAAGGGAGAGGCGGTTTCGGGAGACGAGAAGGCTGGGAGCAGGCAGGGAGTGTGAACTGAGGACCCCTGCACGGGTCCAGGTGGGAAGGGCAGAGGCTTCCACGTGGAACTGACCCAGAGGAGGCTTGGTGAGCGCACAGCACCAGGTCGCCTCCGAGCAGCCCCACCCGGCCCTCAGGAGCAAGTTGTGAGCCTCCAGCTCTGCAGCTCAAGGAGGGCGGGGACCCCAGGGTGGGCACTGTTCGCAGGCCTCAGCTTCCTGGGCAGTCTCAGCCCTTCCAAGGCAGCATTCCTATGGACAGTCTGTTCGGATGAGCCAACAAAAAGGTTTAAAAATAAAGTTAGGCCTCATTTGAAGTCCAAATGCTAAATAATGAATGTCATCATTGACTCTATTGGTATTTAAAAATGCGATCTTTCAATTTATCTAATTCAGTGTAGTCAGAACTACATCAATGCTTTCTTCATCCACCTTTATCCACATGGTAAAAATGCTGAGAAGTAAAACATGCTATCATTTTCTAAAATTGGCAACTGTCTGCATTCGCTAAAATGCCAGTGTTTTTATTTGTAATTCCAGCAATATGATTTTGGGGCAAGATTCTTTTTACCTTAAAAGGCATCATATGAGCCCTAACTGGTTTGGCTCAGTAGATAGAGCATCGGCCTGCGGACTGAAAGGTCCCAGGTTCGATTCCGGTTAAGGGCATGTACCTTGGTTGCGGGCACATCCCCCTACCCCAATAGGGGGTGTGCAGAAGGCAGCTGATCGATGTTTCTAACTGTCTATCCCTCTTCCTTCCTCTCTGTAAAAAAAAAAATCAATAAAATATATTTTTTAAAAAAGGCATCATACGACCTTGATAAAGTAATGGAGCAGGTGATCATCAATGGCTGCTAATGTCACAAGAAGAGGGACAATCGGACACATGTGCCTCCGGACGGACTAGCCATGGCCAATGAAATGGTCTAGCAAAACAAAACAGGCTAACAAAACAACAGCAGGCTCTGATCAAGGCTGGAAATATAGGAGGAAGGGGAATGTGGACAAGGACACCATGAGCTGCAGCTGGGAAAACCCAGTCGGGACGGACACCTGCAGGACTACAACTTGCTTCTACCCATAAGTTACAGGAACGACAGACGGGGGATTTGTAGATAGACAAACACTTGTCATGAGACTCAGCGACCAACCGTAACGTATGGAGCTGACCCAGATTCAGATTCAAACAAATATATTGTCAAATTTTTCACGAGACAATCAGAAACTGGAAGTGACTGGTTGATGATACTCGGGAATTACTGTCAGTTTTTAAAGATATGACCATTGGTACTGTGGTCATATTTTTTTAAAAAGGATCTTTAAGATACTTATAGGTGAAATGATAGGGGGCTCGGCATTAGCTTCAAATTGATCTGGGAGTGAGTGGGGGAGAGCTGAATACAAGATAGGTAGACGGAGTGGCTACTGGAATTAGATTACTAGGTCACTGGGTTATTCTTTTCACTTTCATGTTGCTTGAATTTTCCTATAAGGAAGTTGAAAATCAAACACAACCAGAAGGTGCTAGAGACACACAAGTCACACTGGACCAACCTGGACCCTGAGTTTGGGACGTGCAGCTGTAAAAGTTTTTTTCTCTAAGCAAAAGGAACTTTTATATTTTTAGGAATGCCTTAAGGTCATTTCCAAATAGTTTGAATATTGTTTTAAAACATACTAGGGCCTTTAATAAAATAGCATTTGATATCTTTGCCCTTTCAAGCAATAGCTCCCTCCATGCCGACAGAATGGAATAGCTCCATTTTCAACAGCCACGTGTCCTCCTTTTGAACAGTTTTTGGAGTTAGCTATTTGGGGTAATTTGGAATGAAAAAGCTGCAAACAATATACAGTGCAGTGAGCTTATCAAAGAAGGGAAGCTAGAAAAGATGTAGTTGAATGAGCTTTCAAAGCCTTGCATTTCCTGGACCAGAACAGGGCACTGCAGCCTGGGAAAAGGCAGGCATGTTCCAGACATCTGAAGGCTCACACAAAACATGGCCATTTTTAGGAGGGATCCCAGTTCAGAGAGCCCACTTATGCACCATTCACAGGTGAACAAGACCACCAGTAGTGGTGGTGATGGGGACTGAGCTGAGAACCCCTCTCCCCTGTCCCCCGGCCATGAGAAGCAGGGAGATGGCTTCTACACGCATCACAGAAAGGACCAAACACTGGCTGGAAGAGAACTAAAAAGCACCCACTGTGTGGGTTACCAGCAGCACCTTGGGGGTGTTTCTGGGAGGAGGGCTGGGTGCCAGGCCACCTGCAACCTTGGGCACGCCTTCCCCGGGCTCCTTCCGCTCCTCTGGGCTGTAGCAGAGCAGCTGCATGTTGCTGGAGAAACAGCCACACTGACTGCTTTCAAGTTAAATCTTGACCCCAAATTGTCACTGAGCCTATGGCACTGGCCCTGCATGCCTACTGCTCTTCTAAAGCATGTTCCCGTTCTTACTCTGCAGAACAGATTTTCTTTTTCCAAACTTGCCCACTCCAACCCGCGATGATGGTACTTCACTGAGTGCACGCGGGCGCTCCCAGCTGCCCGCCCAGCTGCACCTTCCCAGCCACCTCCTGTTCTCCATCCCTCCTCCTCCTCCCCCTCTTCCTCCTCTGCTATATAATCTACACTGAAAAAAGTGAGGGGAACAAGAAACCCTGGAATCATCGCCTTCCTTCTCCGCTGCTCGAAGATGCCGAGGATGTGCCCTCCTCAGGGTTTTAAACTTTCTACTTCTGCCTGGGAAGCTCCTCCTCTTGACCCCTGTATGGTGGGCTCCTTGCAATTCAGGTGTTGGCTTAGATGTCACCCCCTCAGAAGTCCTCTGCTGTTGGTTTTCACGTGCCACCCAGATCCCCCCTTCAGGCTGCAGGGATGCTGCTGGCACATGGTCCTCTGTTCATGACCTCCAGAGCCCACCCCGGCCTGTCACTCAGAAGACACCATTGCCAAAGGAATAACAGCTGTCTGCTGACTTTCTTACAAGTGGCTCAGCATTAAAGACAATGCACATACGATTTCTGCACAACACTTCCTGAAGACGTAGGGATTAGGTTGCCACTTTTAACTTTAAACCTTCCTTCAAAAAACAATGTGAAAATGGAAGAAAATGCAGAAAACAGTGATTAAGAGACTCAGGGACTGCAGCCATGACCAAAAGCGAGGAGAGACTAAAACCTGAGGTAGTCTGGCAAACTAGGGACTTGGTGTGTAAATGGTCACTTACAGGTACATAAAAATGAAGGGACTGGGGTTAGCAGGTGGAAAGGCTATGTGACAGAGAAGGGGACCAAGAGGAGCGAGGAGAAGGTCCTGCCCCCACACCCCAGAGACTGGCCCCCACACCTCAGATACCGTCCCCCATGCCCCAGAGACTCGCCCCCACACCTCAGATACCGTCCCCCACATCTCAGATACCGTCCCCCACGCCCCAGAGACTGTCCCCCACACCTCAGATACCGTCCCCCACACCCCAGAGACTGTCCCCCACGCCTCAGATACCGTCCCCCACACCCCAGAGACTGTCCCCCACACCTCAGATACCGTCCCCCATGCCCCAGAGACTCGCCCCCACACCTCAGATACCGTCCCCCACACCCTAGAGACTCACCCCCACACCTCAGATACCGTACCCCACACCCAGAGACTCGCCCCCACACCTCAAAGACTGTCCCCCACACCCCAGAGACTGCCACTTAGGATTTGGGTACACAGGACATTATACACAGCTCTACTCACGAGAGACGTGGTTTCTGGTCCGGACGCCGGGGCTTTAAAGGTGGACGTGGGCTTGGGAACATCTGCTCTCTTGTCTGCAGCCGCTCGCATGGACAAGCACTCCAGGTAATCGGGAGGAGGGATGGGGACGGCAGCACAGCTCTTCTCTGACAAGTCCACGGTGCTCATGCTCCTCACGGGCGCTGGGCTAATGGCCCGAGTTAGGGAACAAGTTAGAGAAGGTCCTGCCACCAGATCCCAGCACTCAAAATAGCCACGATCAGCACGACAACAGAATCATCATAAAGAAGGACTGGGTAGGAGGAGGTCTCAAACACACATACACACACACACAATATCGTAGATATTATCGGGATTGGAGTGCAGATTTAGGGGTTACTGGGATAGAGGTGCCAAAGGAAGCCCATCGGTGTAATAGGAACCATGGTAGTAGACACAGCACAGGAAGGAGAGAAGGAAAAAGGATTGAGGACAGACCCCCGAAGAACACCTATGTTTAAACAGGGGGCGGGGGAGTGGCCTGTGAGGAGAGGGAGGATGCTGGTGAGGTGCCAGGACAATAGAGGGCCAGGTCCGGAAACCCGGCAGGGAGCGTTACAGAGGTGTCCCCCATTGTTGCAGGCTGCTCAGGAAGGTCAAGAGGGAAAGGTGACCCTAGTTTGTTTGGCTCAGAGGATAAGCATCCGCCCTCAGACTGAAGGGTCCTGGGTTTGATTCCAGCTAAGGGCGCATACCTCAGTTGCAGGCCCTTGATCCCTGGTTCCTGGTCAGGGCTTGTGTGGGAGGCAACCAATTGATGTTTCTCTTTGTCTCTCCCCCTCCCTTTCACTCTCTACAAATCAATGGAAAAATACCCTTGGATGAGGATTAACCAAAAAAAGGAGGGAAAAGAGGGATGCAGCCAGTGTGGGTGGGACGTTGGGAGTGGCCCTAGAGGGCTGAAGGGTGGGCCTGGGCTGGGAAACTTCACGGCAGATAGTCAGTAAAGCCCGTGGACACAGAAACCACTAGGAAAGCATGTGAGCAGCAGTCTCCTGCTCAGTCGCCACAAATCAGACAGAATTCTGATCCGCCTGGAAACAGCAGGCCGAGTTCCCTGTCACTGGGCCCTGTGGGCACAGCCGGTCCTACCTCGGCGCGGGCACACTCACTGCCTCCTGCGCGCTCTCTTCCAGCAGCCTCGTGTACGAGGACGGGAACCAGCCCCTCCTGCGCGGGCGGAGGAGAGAAAGGCCTGGCTGTGGGTTGGCAGTGGACACGTGAACAATAAACACACTGAGGACCTCTCCCCCCATCACACAATGTGTGCTTCACATACAGTGTTCCTTTTATTTGGATTCCCTTTAATGCCCCCTGCCCCTTCCTGGTTTTGTTTAATAGATGCATAATCTACACAGAAAACCATTTATGTGCTAAGTCTCAAAGTACATCTGATATGCAGATTATCCTTGAGAAATCCAAAGTCACGTGTTTTGTTCTCAAAAAACAAGAGAATACTTAAAACCTATTTCAGAGGTGACGCATAGGATCTAATGCTCTATTCTTGTGTCAAACTGATCTATCCATGCACACATGCAGAAAACAGCCTGGGGCAGAACAGCTCCAGTTCACTAAACCAGCGGTCGCCAACCGAGGACCACTGGTGGTCTGTGAGGTCCAAAAGGTTGGCGATCGCTGAACTAAACCACAACTACAGCTAAACTAGGACCATAACGCTGGCTAAAATGCTAGTATGTCCACAAGGACCATGTGCCGCTCACAGGAGAGACGGCAGTTCTCTGCCGCGCTGGGCTCTGGCTCCTGAGTGGACCACCCACCCGAGACTTACGCTTTGGAGGTGTCGTGCTCTCCGTAGAGCCAGCCGTCTCTCTCCTCAGCAACGAGCAGCGTGATGACGTCTCCCTGCGCGAAGCCAAGCTGGTTGGTGCCAGCCGTGTGCGGGAAGATGGTTTTCACTTTCTGCTTTTTCATCAAGTTCAGTCCCGTTGCAACAGACACCGATCGCTGTAAACTGGGATCCTCCAAAGAAGCTGAAGACAACACAGTGGTGATGGCTTTTCCAAGAACGACAATCGGGCCACTTCCAGCACAAAGCCAGGCATGTTCTACTGCCACACCCTTACCGTTGCGGGAGGGACGGGGACTACAAGGGACTGCAAGGTGGCCCCTTCTGCAGACGGAGGGAATAAAGCAGGGCCTGCCGGGCTTCCCCGCACTCCTGCCTCAATCTGGGCGGCTCTCAGAGGCAGGCAAGCCGCCCATCACCAAACGATGCTTCCCTTCCCAGCTCTCAATATGAACCACAGGCCGAGGGAGGCCTCAACTCTAACCCAACTGCCCATGACCTGGGCCAAAGACTGGAAATGCTGCCGTGAAGACAAGCACCTTAACTGAGCCCTTCACAGCCTCTGAGGTTGGCCCGGGCAGAGCCAGGAACCAGCTGCGGGCGGCCTGGCACCACAGCCCAAACCATACTCCATGGAGCAGCACGCTGTGCACTTTGTGTCTCAATTCAAATACTGCCTGTTGTTTACACTCAAAACCAAAATTGGAAAGGAGATTTTTTTCTTTTTAGGTATTTTTTCCAGTCAGATTTTGCTAGCCCACTATTTAAAACAATGTAAGATCTCTCTCTGCTTTCCTCTTCAGTCTTACTAATTACTCTGTAAACTCTGCTAACTTCTCACCACACGCTCTCTGATTACGTCAGCAGTGCTGAATCCATTAGCAATGTTATTTCCTTTTACCAAAAAGAATCAAAGAATCATTTGAATGACTGGGATGCACACAGCATTATGTATTTTAACTGTACATGGTATATAACTTGCAGTCTTTCCTTCAAAGGCACATGCTTGCAGACCATTATCTCCCTAGCTGCCATTCGGAAAATCTCATCTCTTCCCCAACAGCTGCATGTGCACTAACCCAGGGTCTCTCTAGCACACGGCTCAGCGGCCACGGCTTTCACCCTGCGAGTCACCCAGAGACAGGGGCCTGGGCGCCAGGCTACTGTAGGCAGAGCCGAGTCTAACCAAAGCCTCCTGAAATGTCCGCAAACAACTGGTCCCAATTTCCTGCAATACAGTCAACAGCGCTAAGGACTTTCAGCAGCAGAACCACACGCCCGAGAGGCCTGGGCGCTGCCTGATGATGAGAATCACCGGTTACAGGTCAAGCTGAGCCTGTCGGTGAGATCAACAACCACAATTCTGTTACGTGAACCTTTAGAGTTTTACTGAAAAAACATTATTACAATTACCACTGAACACAGGACACAGTGGGGGCTCTCTGTACATCTATCCTGTTTCAAACACAACCTTTCAATAGCATATTGGCGCCTGTCAACAGCAATCGGTATACAGAATTAGTATGTGTCAGAAAAGGTGTCACGTATAACATGTCCCCTGGTTTTTCCACAAACCCAGACCCGTGTTTGTTCTGAGGTGTAAGCTCCTCCATGTTGGACATGTGCCATATACATGCTTAGTCACTGCTACCTCAAGATGCATTTATCCAAAATATTGATTTTAAAGTTTTAGACAGGAATTTTACAGAAAAATGCCTTACCCGAATTCTGTGCAGCAGTCGCTGGGTTATTGAACATATCAATCAAAGGGCTGGTGACCACTCTGCCTGAAGGAGCCGGGGGCACCTTGGGTGGATACTTAGAAAGGGTGTCGTAGTCTTTCCCAGCCTGTGAAAAAGTCTTCATTAGTTTACTATTAGTCTAACATAGCAATGGAAGTACAGTTTTCCAGGCTGCTCCATATTACATGCTCTAAGTCCCACAGTTCCCCAAGTTCCCTTAGTTGAAGGGCAATACCCCATCTTGAATTATTTAAATAATATATCTTTTCCATTTTTTGTCTTTAAAAAAATAAAACAAAAAAACAAAACCATTATCTTTAAAAACAAAACAAAAACAAAGCAGGCACTCCCCATACTCTCACCCCCTGGTGACCACTAATCTGCTTTCCTTCTGTGGATTTCAGGCTCCCTCGTCAGTGCTACTCGGCCAGAGGATTCTACAGCTGAAATAATTTTTCCACAGACCTTTGAGTGCTTTGCTCCATTAATTTCTTTTTTAAAAAAATGTTTTTATTGATTTTTTTGAAAAAGAGGAATGAAGAGAGAAACATTGAGAGAGAAACACCATGGACTAGCTGTCTCCTGCACACCCCCTACTGGGAATCGAGCCCAAAACCCAGGCATGTGCCCTGATCGGGAATCGAACCAGCTATCTCTTGGCTCATGAGTCTCAACCACTGAGCCACACCGGCTGGCCGTTCCATTAATTTCTAACATCTTGTTTTGTTAACAAGAAATCTGGTCCGCATAGGTTTCTCTTTACTTTGTAAATAATCTGTTTTTTCTCTCCCTAGAGGTTTTCCGAATTTTCTCTTTATCCCTAACATTCTGCAATCTTATCGAGGTTTTGGTCATTTCTGCGCGTCTCAGATCGGCCTGGCTGCCACGTGAGAGACCAGGCGGGAGGCTGCTGCGGTCTCTCTGAGGGGCTGCAGTCAGAGCAGCGCAGGGCTGAGGGGCTGGACTGGGACATGCTCTGACGATGGAAACGTCAGTGTTGGCCTGTGGACTGACAGTGGCATAAGCGAACGAGAGAGAGGAGTTGCCGCATTGTGTCTGAGCTACCGGAAGGATGACACTGCCGTTCACTGGTTCTGGACCAGTTGAATGTGAGATCCCCATTAGACATCGGTGGTGATGCTGGGCAGGCAGTGGAGCGTACCTCCCTTGTCTCAGCTGGCCTAACATGTTTCTCCTCTTTCCCATTAAAAAAAAAGTCCTCGTTCTGTGTTTGCACTGTGTTTTGGAAGTGTTTCGGTTTAATTTTCCAAGCAGTTCCATTCTTCTAATGAGCCCATCAGTTGTTATTGTGTTTTGAGGGCAGAGAGAGAAATGGGGAAAAAATTATTTTAGAAAGATTTCAAAGGGATGAGAGAATAGCACCATAAATCTCCATGCACCCAACACCTACCTTCAGTAGTTATCACTTCCTGCACAGAAAGGTGGATTGTTTGGTCCTGGCCAGTGTGGGTCAGTGGGCTGGGCATTGTCCCTTGCACTAAGGTCACCGGTTCGATTCCTGGTCAGGGCACATGCCTGGGTTTTGGGCTCAATCTCCATTAGGGGGAGTGCAGAAGGCAACTGACAATGGTTCTCTCTCATCATTGATGTTTCTATCGCTCCCTCTCCCTTCCTCTCTCTAAAATCAATAAAAACCTATCTTTTAAAAAAGCAAATACACAATTGAGATCTTGGAGGTAGTGGGTTCCTACCATGCTCCTTCTCTCGACCATTGGCGAAGGCTGAGGCGTCCAGGACGTGGGGGTGGAGCTAGGGGTCTTTATTTCTTCTATCATGTTGATGATTTCCTCTGGCACTTTGGTGGCATCACCGCAGGTTTTCTGCCACCTGGGCAGTTTGGAATTCAGTAATTCTGCCGACTGTAAATCCAAAGGAAACACAATGGCAGATAAATGTGTATTGTCGGAAGAGCTGACACAAATGACATCAAATGATTATCACTGACAATGCATTGCCGGCTTATCACCAGAAGTATGGGAGCTCTGACTGAAATTCAGGGAGTAGTTTGAGCCTCTGTGAGTGTCTGCTGTCTTATTTGCTGAGAAGGTTGTAGGCTTCTGTTCTAAAAGAATTTATCTTCTCCCTCCCTGTGAACAATTAAGACTAATATAAGGACTGTAAATGATTAAGAACAAGTTCAAAAGCTAAAAGGGAAGGGTTGAGCGATCCGTATTAATCACCAAGAAATGCCAGCCACCGCTTTCTCCCTCCCACTCCTATGGAAAACACCTCCAAGACAGGTGGGGGACCCAGTGGACTCAGCTTAGGGAAACCGGATTTACAAGTCAGAGGAGTCAGATCTGTGCACAGACGAGGGGCTACAGGCAAAGCGGTGGGTCCTGCAGTCAGCGCCAGCGCTGAGGGGCGCTCTGGCCCTCCGGCTGGCAGACCATGGGGCTGAACTGTGTAGCAGAGTCACAGATGGACAGAGAGAAGTCCCACAACCCCAGAGGCTCCCACAAGCCTGGCTTTGCTTCTTACAGCTGGAGGTTCCCTGAAGGCCTTTTCCAGGGCAGCAATCTGCTTGGAAAAGGGAAGCAGGGGGCCTTCCTTGGAGCTGGTTTCATAGCAGGCACACTGTTTTTACTTAGAGTCTCTGCTCATCAGGTGTGGGCTGGGGGTGCTGGTGGAAATCCTGAGAGGGCAAAGCCTGCCCCCAAACCACCTCTGTGCTGACTGTCACCCCGACACACTAACCGCATAGCCTGCTTCACCCAGGAGCCACTGACAGGACTGGGTGCCTCAGCTGGGGTGCGAGACAGCACAGAGGGATGTTCAGAAGGTTGAAGAGATGCACATAGAAAGCAGATTTGGTCTGTGTCCCTCTAAAAAGCCTAACTGGGCCCGGCTGGCGTGGCTCACTGGTTGAGCTTTGACCTATGAACTAGGAAGTCACAGATTGATTCCCGGTCAGGGCACATGCTTGGGTTGTGGACTTGATCCCCAGTAGGGGTTGTGCAGGCGGCAACTGATCAATGATTCTCTCTAATTGTTGATGTTTCTCTCTCTCTCTGAAATCATTAAAAATATATTTTAAAAATAATGATAAAAAGCCTAACTGTGACCCAAGGTTAAGTGTAAGAAAGACTGCTAACAACTAGAGCTCTCAGAAGTCGGCCAGGTTACCTCACAACACTGAGTGCCCCATCGCCCACAGGACGTCGCCAAAGAAGAACTTCACGGTTGCTTCTGTCCTCTCCAGCCTACGACCCTGCCCCAGGGCACCCTCCCCATGTGGAACTAGTAGATGCACTGGTGACAAAAGTGATCACCTAAGGGGCTTGTAACAAGTTTAGATCTTCGCTATTTATTTATTTTTCAAATATACAGTTATTTCAGAGAGGATGGAGAGAGAGAATCATTGATCGGCTACCTTCTGCATGCCCCACACTGGGGATTGAGCCCGCAACCCAGGCATGTGTCCAGACCAGACCGGGAATCAAACCCTGATCTCCTGGTTCATAGGTCGACGCTCAACCACTGAGCCATGCCAGCTGGGCAGATCTTTGCTATTTAGATTTGGTGGCTGAATATTTCTTAAATACTTTATAGAATACGTAACATGATATACGCATACATACAAGGCCAAGTTGTTTTTTTTTTCACCTGAAAAAAAGGGGAAGTTGCCTTATAACCATGCTCTTAGTGCCTCGTATCATGCAGCACTCTCCAAATTACTTTATTATGAATAACAATTACTGATGTCAATCAATGCTACTTTTGGATGTTTACATAAACCCAACACAATTCATAATTTAACAGAGGAAAGGCCATTGAGTGCATGTTTTGTAATGTTTTCTGGGGCTATAAGCTCACAGCTGCTGTGAAGGAGGGCAGGAAAGCTGACGAGATTGCCAACACTTTAAAGAAGAATGAAAAGGAGCTCCAACCATGGGCCCTGATGCTGCAAATGGGGTCTGCGGCCTGGGTACAATTTCCAGGGACACATACACATGGACCCTCGAGGTGAGCATCTTAGACCATGTGGGGAGTGGACCTGGGCCTGGGCCTCACTCTGTGGCTCTGATGAAGGCACTGAGGCCGAAGATGCGGCCCTGGGAATTGGACAAGAGCTGACTCACAGGCGAGAAAATGAAAAACGTACCATTTCTCAATTACTGAACATTACTTTATCAATGGTTTTAAATATGGACGGATGACTACACTAATGAAAAATATTATAAACATTTATATGTCTATAAATGTCTAAAAGTTAAATATTCAAATTGGCCAAAAACTGTTTGAAATCTCATTGGCAAAATAGGCCCGCTGCTCTGTGTTGGGGCTTGTGTGGAACTGCCTTTAAAAGCATCTCAAGGGCATTTAAAGGCAACATAAAACCAATACACGGGACACAGCGGGCCGCCCGCACCTGCAGGTGGTAGTGCTGCGTGCGGCTGGCGAAGCTGCAGTGCTTGTCCACCAGGAAGCAGAAGCGCCTCTTCTCCTCCAGGAGCGCCTCTCTGCAGCCCTCTGCGATGAACCTCTGGATCTCGCTCTGGCGAGAGGTGACGGTTTCTATGTACTAGGAAAGCAAGGAGTAGTTATGCAGTATGATGGGAGGAATCAAGCAGCTGCTCAGCCCAGCATTTATCTTCCGCCATCTTTATACTGGGTTTATTTGGATAAAGGAGTAACTACTAAACACAGATAAACGTTACATAAAATAACTAAGTTGTAACCTGGCCCGAGCAGATAGCATCATCTTTATCAAGATCCCTGACTCCTCTGTGAGAGAAGCTGCCAAAGGCCTTACATTCCAGGGGGCAGGTGGCACAAAGTATCGCTTTGTACTCCAGGAAGAAGAACCTATTGCTTTAGAACCAGAAAGTCTGAGTTCAAATCGAAGTGTCAACCATATGACTTAAGCCTCCTCCCCATCTGTAAAATGGGGGTAACAGTGCTTACCCTCCCTGAGTGGGCAGGAAATGCCCATGTTTTTAGGAGGCCACTGACTAAGCATGCTTCACCCTGGAAAAGTCCGCAGCAGCTCACAACGCGAAGTCAGATGCTCACTCTTAACTTCAACAGCAGCTCAGCCGTAAGCAGATGAAGGGCTAGCTGCAGTAAACACTTTCCGCAAACTATAAATCATCACCAACAAAACGAAGTCATGCTGAAGAGCTTACCTCAATTTCTTTGTGTTCGTATTTGACTGCATTTCGTCCTCCTTGACTTTTCCTTCTGATCTTCTTCAATTCAGCTTGAGATTTCTCCAAAGAATCTAATTTATTCCTGTGTTCTGTTTGGTATCTTTTGAGAGTGGCCTGCAAGTTAAACGTTGCACTTATTTCACTATAGCAGCACCATACAAACCCGAAGGCAGCTATTTTGCCAGCATTTTCACTGGGTGTGGCCAGTCTGCCTCTCACTTCACACCACCCTCCCTGGTCCGTGGTCCTGAACACCCTCACTTCACACCACCCTCTCCGGGCCATGGTCCTACACACCCTCACTTCACAACACCCTCCCCGGGCCGTGGTCCTGCACACCCCCACTTCACACTTCCCCTCCCTTCAACTTTAAGGTTTGATGCTTTGTCCTAAAGTTCTGTTTATATGAGGGGCTCTTGACCAGAGGGCAGCTCTCAGGAGACAACGTCTTTTCTTTCTCTTGTTCCTTCTTTCCTCCAGGGTGTTTGGACACTGGGTGGTCAGTACTTTGGTGAGAATAAGTCAACAATATTAGATCCCAGGTTCCTGTTTTATGACTTATGATTTCAAGAAAGAGACTGAAGAAGTACAATCAACTCCCGTCATTTGGGAGCTGTACTACAGTTTTTTATTGGAGCCTGACAGACCTAGGTTAAAATTCTGGGTTCCTCCCTCATTTCCCGTGCGACTTCAGCAATTATTTAATTTCTCTAAGGTCCTTCTGCCCTCTAATCTGTACAGTGAGGATAATATGAGTTCGTTCCCACATTTCGGAGTTTCTGTAGGGATGCAAAGTGCTTGGCATCACACCCCCCTCCGCAGCCCCAGCTGGTCCTGCGCCTTCCTCTGAGCACGGCTTACTGCCGCACAGGGTCTTGGTGAGAAGAAAGGGGACTCTGGGTGGCAGTCGGGGGAAATGGGAAGAGCCCTGTGTGCCGGGCAGGACCAGGAAGGAGGAAACTGCTGGAACCGACAACACCAGGTGGCGGCAAGAGGTCCATGCAGGAGCGGCCTCTGCCATCAGACCTGGCGCCCAGACGGTGCTCTCCCACACCCCCCGTCCCACGGAGCCAGCTGTGAGGGCCCAGCTGCGCGCACACAGATGCAGCTGTCACCAGCACATGTGTGGGCTTGGGGGCAAGGCTTCCAGAAGCAGCAGGCTTCCTCGCAGTATTTTTTCTGTGCTTTTCAATAAGAATCCTGAGTGTTAGCAGAAACGAATCCACTCAGCCTCAAGTGAACTGTCTGTCTGTGCACTGTGCACACCCTCAACACAAACTCCCTCCATGTCTGCTGCTGAGTCAGGCTCAGAGTCAAGTGAGTGCAGCCTCCTGGACAGCCAGGCCCCGTGCCTGCGCCTGCCTCCACCACGGAGGCAGAGCAACGCCGAGTACTCACGGTCATGTATTTTACATCAAGTTCTGTCTTCTTCTCCAGCTCATGTATAATCTCTTTGTGGAATGCTTTGAACTGTTAACAAAAGGAAATAAAAATATTCATATCAGATTTGAGATGTTAAGCAAAATAAAATTTAAAAAGAAATACATGTTGTAAAAATAGAAAAAGAGTTCACATACATTTTCTCTAAAACTCTCATCAAGTTTCTGGTGGGTACTTGAAATCTCTATGAGAACGTGGCCTGAGAACAAAACCAGACAAGTTAGGGGGGGAAGCCATTGTGTGGTATTGTAAAGAGGGGAAGGAAGTAAAAAAGTGCCTCACAGTCCATTGCTGCCCCCAGAACCCGTGGGCGTCCGTTCCAGACACTCAGACAGCTGACCGTGCCCCATGATGGGATTGGTACCAGGGGACGCAGCTGGTCACAAACTCACTCTACAATTCCCTTCCCTCAAAAGAACGCCAACTCTGTCTTAAAACTCACCTGTTCTTTCTATATTTGTTCATTCCCTGCGCTCAACTTATCTGGTTTAATTTTAAATTCTCTTAAAAAGGGTTCTCTTGGTCATTATAGTGACTAACTATAGGAACAAATGCCTTATTTTTATCTACTCCCTAGAGCAGTCTGAGTTTCTATCAGTCAGAAAAGATAAAAGCTTTTTTGGTTTCTCATTAGTTCTCGTTTCATTCTGGAAGATATGAACGCTGTGGAAACCCACGGCGGGCGGGACGGTGCTCTGCCTTGCGTCTCCTGGGACACTGTCCATTCTAAGGACCATCGCATGTGACAGAATGTCCCAGGACAAGGGGGCTTACTCCAAAGAGCAGCGGGATGAGCACCTGCTTGGAAAGCACATCTCCCGCCGCTCATGGCCGCTCACGGCTGTGTGCACATCTCTGCTCCTAACCCTGATGAAGATGAATGAGGGCCTCTCTCTGCCAACTTATCTACAGGAACCCAATAGTCTGATAGCTAAGAGCTGGGAAAACCAAAAAACCACACGGACAACCCCCAGACTAGACCAAGCGATTAAATGTGCTGGCAGGTCACCCACAGTTCTCTGGGGGAAGTGACAGGCTATGGATGAGGGAGTATGTGGGGAGAGAAAAGAACACCGACTGGACTAGGACTTCGGCCACACCTCCACACGATGACTCCACCAGGCCCTGTTCTCATAACATTGTAAGACATCGACTTTCAAAGGGCTGGCCCAGCCTTTCCTTCATCTTCAGACTCAGAAATGAACATGTCCACTCGAATGTCCTGTTAGGCACCGCACATTCAACATGTCTAAAAGTGAACTCACCTGCTCTCTAACCCCAGATCGTGGCTGCCAGCTGGCCGGGCACACCTGTGTGATACCCAGTGCCAAAGATGCATTCCCTTGTGCATGGGGGGGCCATCACTTGGGCCACTTCTAGGGTGAAACCATGGCCCCTACTCATCCTGCTACCTTGGGTAACACGTGTGCCAGCCCTTCCCTGCCAGGAGAGAAGGCACATGGGAACAGCACGTTTTCTATGTTCCACCAGAGGAGGAAGAGGAGTCCCCTAGTCCAACCTGCCAGGTGGCCCTCTAAGGGTGGCCCCCGCCCTGCCCCCGCCAAGCTCTTATCATTACTCTGGCCTCCCAGCTTATTCTCTTTGATCTTCTTCCTCACAGGTGCCAGGGGTCTTTCCAAATGCAAAGGTCACAGTTCCCTCCCCAAGGCATCCCAGATGAACCAACTCCTCAGCAGGAAGCCCGCCTGCACAGCTCTGCTTACAATGACAGTGGTCCGACCATGGGGGCGGGTGGGGGGCAGAGAACCTCCTGTAAGACAGGACCTGATGAGGTTACAGGTGCAGAGCCTGTAGTCCCTAAGGAGCCCCTAACAGAACAGCCTGCTGGAGAGTGAGGGCAGACTCATCCCCAGCACCCACGGGTCCACCACGCCAAGTAATCAAAGTGCCCGCTCTACACTTACCCCATAATTAAGTTCTCGTGGAGCTCAACACGGAACAGAGTTCTTCGCAAAGGAAGCCCTCACGTGACCAAGAATATAATTACATCCATGTCACTTTATATCATTTGGTCATTTCAGATAGTGCAACAACCCACGTAACTTTCACATCTATGTTAAACACATAAGTAACTCTTGGCGGCAGATAAAGAAAACAACAGCAAAAGCCCACCTCCACTACTTGAAAATCAAACACTCTACTCTTGGCAAATCAGATCTACTTAAAAAAATAAAAAAGTCTAAAAACAACTTGGCTTAAATCAGTCAGAGTGATTTAAGCTAGAATCAAGGCATTCGCATTTGTTCGTACTGTCAGGAACTTTATTTCTATATATAATGTAGATCTCTGAGAATCGAGCTGCCAAAACAGAAGTCTGTGCCAGTGTGGGCACTGCTGCTGCACTGCGCTCTGGCGGAGGCCCCGCTCCCTGCACCCACCTCAGCACTCTCGGCCTCCTGCCCACAGTTCCTCCCAGCAGGCAGCAGGGGTGAGGGGGAGGGGGAAGGAAGGCTCAAAAGGTTTAGTGAAAAGCCCATTCACTCTGTGGGCAGGAACCAAACACCTGCCCTGCCCTTGTTATTCCTGTCCCTTGCAGCTTGTGGGATTTAAATGCCAGCCTCACAGCAGTAGCCATGGAGTGCTCGGTCATAAAAAGGGTCAGAAAACATCTTTATTGTGACCATGCAAGCTGCCAACAGTGTATTTTGAAACAGAACATGAAAACGGCCTTCATGTTTAATCTACAGAAGTTTATTCTTAGGTACTACGTGTTGCTTTATGTCTGAAACGTGGTATCACACACGTTTGTTTACTCTTAGCCCTGTAACCTACTTTTTCATAAATTACATTTAAGAAAAATATTTTTTGAAAAAAGAGGGTGGAGTTGAGAAAGCACAGCCCAGATTCTAATGGAACAGAACTAAACACACACACCCAAAAAGGAATTAACGTGTTGATCCCAGAAATCACAGCACAGCGTGTAACAAATCAACCATTTACTTTTTTTCCCTTTTAGGTTTTGAGTCAACATTTTGGGAAGAAACTCATAGTAGGTACAGTCATGTGACTAAGTCGGAGTATATTATGTTCTTAAATGGCAATATTAAAGGAATTTAAGTTAATATAGCTATTTTAAAATCATGAACTTGACATAATTAAAAGTCAATGTCTACCACTCATTTTTCCCTAAAATTCATATAATGGCGAATTTTAGGAACTTTGAACAAATATGTCCAACATTTTGGGGACAATATTGTCTAAAGGTATATATTTAGACAATAGGAAGTATGAACTTAAAGTTACATAAAAATTTTTAAAAAAGTATTGGTATAGGCCCTGGCCGGGTACTCAGTTGGTTAGAGCGACATCCCAATACACCAAGGTTGCAGGTTCGATCCCCAGTCAGGGCACATATAAGAATCAACCAATGAATGCATAAATAAGTGGAACAACAAATCGAAGTCTCTCTCTCCTATAATAATAATAATAACAACAAAAGAGTATTGGTATAAACACATAGTTTTCATCTGAAATACAGATTAGTCACTGGACTATTAATATATCTTCAACTAGATAATTCTTCATCAAGTTACAGTAGAAATTTAGAGGAACGGAATGGGGACACTAATGAACCAGAATAGCACAGAACACGTGACTATAAAGCCATACATGTTATTTTCCGTTTATATTTGCCCACGGGTAATCAGAGCACATTTATTATTTTAAGAAAGCACAAAGCAATGACCGACTCACACACTACGGCCTCCATGTTACTTCAAGTGGAAGCAGACAATGAAACAACAGCGTAGAAGCCAGCCTGGCCTAAAGTTACACTGCATGGATTAACGTAGAATGACCAAAAATGTTACCGAAGAAAGGATCCACTTTTCCTGACTATTGTCCAAATCTCAAATGAGAGGAGAAAATACAATGGAAGTAAAAGTAAACTACACAAGTAGGTAGTGCAAGGATTAGTCACCCACCCAGGCTGAGAGGCCAATTATGTCATGAACCTCACTTGAAAGGCTTTGCAACCTAAGAATAGCTCCAGGGGCTATATAAACCCAGTCCTCTGGTCGGTGCTGACACGTCCCAGTGAACAATGTGCATGGAGGGGTAATGCCAAGAGTAGGGGAGCATCACTGAGCGTTCCTCCAAAAGTCGGGCCTCTGACTTACCCACTGCAGCACCACAGTCCTCACTGACGCCTTGCACAGAGACTATACTTATTCTGCCAGTCAGCACCATGTATCCCATTTGATGAAGACAAATGGGACACACAGGAGCTACACAAAAGGGTTACGTAGTGTCCTAAAGTCCCCTCATTGTCTGAGGTGAAAGTGCAGTGCCACTAACATCTGACTTTGATAAGAAAGGACACGTGCTAACATCTCCAGGGTACACCTGAAAGGATCAAATGCCTAATTACCAAGCTAGTTTCTTCTTGCCCTTAAAAAAGAGGATGAGAAGAAATGAACATAGGACAGAGAGTAGAAAGCAAAAAATGTAAGTAAATAGACAATATAGTCCAAATAAAAGACGATGATTGTTAGGGTTAAAAAAAAGCAACAACACCCAACTCTATCCTGCTAAGATGAGGCCTTAAATATAGGGACCCAGAAAGGCTGAAAGAGAAAGAATAAGATAGTATGGCAGGCAAGTCACAGATTGGGGGAAAATAGAGTACACAACTGATAAAAGACTTGTATCTAAAACATGTAAAGAACCCTTAAAACTCAACAATAAGGAAGCAAGCAACTCAGCTAAAAAAGAGCAAAAGATCTGAACAGATATCTCACAAAAACAAGACATACAGATAGCAAATAAACATTTGAAAAGATACTCTGCATCATATGCCAATGGGAACTGGAAATGAAAACAACAATGAAATGCCCCCACTCACCTACCAGAATGGCTAAAATCCAGAAAACAGGCAACACCAAATGCTGGTGAGGATGTGGAGTAATAGAACTTACGTTCATTGCTAGCAGAAATGCAAAACAGTGCATCCACTAGGCAAGGCAGACCTGCAGGTTCTTAGGAAGGTAAATAGTCTTACCATTATCTAAGTCACCTGAAATCTTATGTCCACAGAAAAACCTATATATGAATGTTTATAGCATCTTTATTCATACTGCCAAAAGCTGAAAGCAACCAAGATGAATGGATAACCAAACCGTGGTACGTCTGTACAATTGAATATTATTCAGGAGTGAAAAAGAAACTATTAAGTCACAA